TTTAAAACGTGCTTTTGAAACAATTGATAGGGATATTTTAATTAAAAAATTGAGTTTCTATGGGTTGAGGAACACTGCTCTTGCATTTGTTAAGGATTTTTTATCAGATAGGTTCCACCAAACTAAAATCAAGAATAATATTTCTAGTAAAAGGAAAAGTAAATGGGGAGTACCTCAGGGTAGTGTGTTGGGACCTTTATTGTTTATTGTTTATGTCAATGACATTCACCAAATGTTGAATTGTTCATTTGTTAATCTTTTTGCTGATGATACCCTGATATCAGTGTCGGGCATAGATCAAGAACAGGTAACCATGACTAAACAGCGAATTGGAAAAATTGTATGAATGGTTGTGTCAAAACAGATTAAAATTGAACGAATCGAAAACAAAGTGCATGGTTATTGGTTCTAAGATAATTTGTAATAGATATCTCAATTCTAGCTTGACAGTAAATATTAATGGGGAAATAGTTGATCTTGTTTCTGGAATAAAGTACTTGGGGGTGAACTTGGATTCTCAGCTTACTTTTGGAAATCACATTGATTACGTGTGTAAAAAATTAGGGAAGAAGATTGGCTTTGTTTACCGTATCTCTCAGCATTTGTCTCAATGGTCAAGAATGCTGGTTTATCAAACAATACTCTTTCCCCATTTCTCTTATGCCAGTTCCTTGTTGATATCTTGTAATAAGGAAGATGTACATAGACTTCAAATTCAACAAAATAAAGTAATGAGAATTTTACTAAACTGTGACAGGTATACTCCAATTAAGCAAATGTTAAGTACTCTAAAATGGTTAAATGTTGAACACTGCATAATTAGAGCGAACTTAATTTTAATATACAAAAGAACACAACTTACAGCCTGCTTATTTGAAATCGTATCTTGAAAGAAGATCAACTTTCCATAATCATACCCTTAGGTCAAATCAACATTTTAATATATCCAGAGTAAACACAACAGCATTACAAAAATCGATTTTTTATGAAGGGGTTCGTTCTTATAATGCATTGCCGGATAACTTAAAAAATGCACCAAGCTTGAAACTCTTTAGCAGTGGATTGAAAGTATTCTTAAGGAATGGACAATGATACTTTTTTTTATTTATTGTAAATTGTTTGTATTGCTTCGTGATACTAGCCAAGAGCTAAATAAACATTATTTATTTATTAAAAACGTGTTTTTATAAGAAAAATTAATTTTGGTCATATCAATGCGAAGCTTAGCAATCAGACATCGTTTTCGTAATAAAATCAGCTGGAAATCGGATGATTGTTGGAAATCAGGTAATCAACTGGGAATGATATAGAAAGCTCCAGAAAAAATGGAAACCACCTGGTAATCATACAAAAATATCTGAAAATCATTGGCAATCAGTCGTAATTCTTGGAATGGGAATACATGAGATTCATTGATCAGTGATTGCCAAATATGGAAATCACCGTACATTTGTACGCATAGTGGTTGACCCCTCGGATGATCAAAGCTTTCTACATAAGGGTATCTATTTCATGATATTGATAAATATTTGTACCTACCAAAAGTGATTTGTTTGAAAGTTCTTTGAGAAGGACCCTGTGTTCAAGAGATCATTCTATTTTTGTCATATTAACATAGCGAATTTCATCAGGTTGGGGTTTATTGTCAGTTTTGAATAGTTTTTTAATTTTTTTGTCAGAATGTGATTCTCAGTTGACAATGATAAGGATCCAGAAAATTTTAGAAGTTTATTACCTCTCCTTTGACAAGTTCTATGAAGATTTATTTTAAGTTTTTCCTAATTAACTAACCTTATTGATTTTGTGAGGGGGAGGGAATTAAGGGCATGGCATAATTGACATGATGGAAGGGAATGCGAAACATTGGCGAATCACGCCTCCCTTGACTGGCATTAAAAGAAATAGCAGAAGTAGGTACCATTTTTTAACTTGAATAGATCTACAAGGTCACAATGACGTTTTCTGTCAATATCATACTGCTGGCTAATGAGATCATAGTTAATTTGAAAACCATCACGTATCCTGACATTCGCCCTGAGAGCCAAAGATCTCAAAAATGTTTTCTGCACAAACTCAAGGTCACTAATATGATATGCGTAGCATGGAGACCAAACAACAGAGGCATACTCCAAAACAGAACGAACAAGTCAGCAATACAGCATACAGCAAGTGGAAAAAAATACGGTGAAAGTTGAACACTGTTATAAATCACAATCCCAAGGCTATGTAATCCCCTATTAACAACATCTGCACAATAAGGAACAAATGTTAATTTTGAGTCAAACAATACCCCCAAGTCTCTGACTTTTGTCAAAGGCGCCAAAACTGAACCATCGATAGAATAACCATATTGTATTACATTTGCTGAACGACTAAATGAGTTGCACAAACGTTTCTTAACATGAATTGAGCAAGTGCAGAAGAAATGTATGCATCATCATCATATTCATTTCAAATTCTATAAAGACACTGAATATAACTACAAAGAAATGTGTCAAAGGCTAAAAATATCATCACTTCAAGAAAGAAGTATTCATGACCTACTCCTTCTTTTTAAAATTTTCAACTTCCCTGTTTGTTGACTGTCCCAGTCTGACTTCCAGCATCGGTTTATATGTACCACCTATTAATAGGAGAAACATCCCAACCTTCTATCAACGATATCACCGCACCAACTACAAATTTGAAACTTTCAGGATTTATTGAATAGAGTTTTTTCATGATACAAAACAAATTGGAAGTTGATACAAAACTCACAATTAAAGTTACGAATTTTTTTACTCATTGATACCTGGAAACATTATAATATTGCTTTAAAATAGTCTTTGAAGATTCCTGAAAAATACTTTGAGCAATCTCAGTAATTTGGAACTTTTAGGATTCATTACTTAAAAGTTTTTCATGATACATAACAAATTGGAAGTTGATATGAAACTCAAAATTAAAGTTACGAATTTTTTTACTCATTATATGTTTCCAGAAGGAGCCTACTGGGTTTTGTGCCAAATCAGAATTGATTCTATCTATGGTTAATTTGTAACACCTCAAAACCTTACAACCATCTCTTAGAGATGAAAAAATGATTTGATTTTGAAGTTTTCCGACTAAACCAGGATGGAAAATTTGTTGATCAAAAGCGCCTAACTGATGGGAAAAACTTCTCCAGCGTAGAATAAAGAACATCATAAAAACACCCCAAGCATTCATCAATGTTATCTAAGTCGAGCACATTAAACAAATAGTGATTTACCGAATAAAAATCACAATTTCTAAAATCATAATAATCATATTTAGGGCCCGTATCACAATTATCGGGTAAGATAATTTTATAGGCTGGGTGCCTCTATTGGTAACAATGGATAGGCCATCCAGTGCTTGACAGAGTAAAATTGAAAAGATCAGATCCAAAAAATCATATTTGGTATTGAATGAATGATTTTGAATGTCCTGAACATACAAAAGTTTGAAATTGCATAATTTTTGTACTTTGAATGTAAAATGTATAAAAGGAAACTCAATTAATTATGTAATTACTTAATGGAAAAATCAAATTAATAGGATTTTAATGTACCATAAATAGTGTGCCAGTCAGTATTTATTTCATAATAATACGTGAGTTAAATGTCTTCTCCATTAATTGGTTTTTCAAATTGATCAACCAAGTAGGTGGAAGAGACCGTATGTAAGGCTTGGAAGCAAAATTTACATATACCATCATTTTTTACTGAAGGAAATAAAAGTACCATATACCATTATGGATTTTTTGCATTGACCAAATACATAATATTATTTGATGAATGGTTATTTTCATAGTTTTTGCTCCCGGTACGTATAGGATTACGTAACAACGCAACGCCACGTTTCCGCGAATAAACAATAAAAATTGTTTTCACATTTGATTAGAGTGTATGTTGTTGTCACAGATATATTGCCCGTGTTGTTTTCCATTTTTGCAACGTCTGATTCAAATTACGCGATGCTTGAAAAAATTATGGGACTGTATACAGGTTTTAAATTAATTAAAGAAAAATTACTGAATAGTATTCTTAGTAAAAGAAACAAAATAATAAATCTAAAAGTTATTTTGTCACAGGAAATTATCAAAAAATCCCACACCCAAGATTACACCAACAATAGTGACAATAGATTATCATATTATTTGACATGATGAAACAAGGAAATCTAGAATCACCTAGATAAAAACCTCGATAAAGACCAAATAATCTCACCATTAAAAAAAAAAGATTGTTTAGCAAATACAATAGCTTGTATAACATACTGCTTAGGGCATCAGATTTCCTGAATGGCAATCAGTAATGCTGTTACAACTTTATTAAATATTGCCATTTAAAATAAATGCATAATTTCATATCCGTTATCTATTTAGTCGAGTGCATTATTTATTTATCAATATCAATAACAATTAAGTCACGTTATTTATGTATAAATGTATCAGGGGCCTTGACATCCCGAGGCAATGTCTGCATGGTTATTCACTGATGGTGTTTTTTCCATGACCGAGTTTGCTGTACGAATGCAAACCATTACAATGTGATTTATAAGTTAATTTATACCTATTTAGTAGTTTCAAGTAGATTTATTGATGACAATAAAGAGTACCCTACAGCTTGCTGACATTTCTGTAAAATTTCTAGAACAACCCGATATATTATGTAGCATAAATAGTTCAATTTTTGACGCTTTTTGTCTGACTAATGAATAAATTAGTGTGGATGACATCATTACAATAAAAAGTCAACAGTCGTTCAGGATCTATTTTTGTCTCTTGAATGAACCAATGTGTGTGGATAACATCTGGCAAAACGATCAATTTTAGTACATCAAAATTGATGCAGAATAATTTATGTTGAATAATAAAGAAGTTTTCAAAACTTCTATTCTATGACCACCTGCTGAAAATATCTTTTTTAAAATAGCAACTCTTCTAGCTTCTCATAGCCTAAGTTTTCTAGCAATTAAAGATTAAAATAGCCTTTTACCTTTCTGTATAGCTTCACCCATGTAAGATCTCCTTTGGAGTCTGTATACTGGAGGCCAAAGAACCATACTTCTCTAAGTCCGATGGTTTTTACAACCTGATCGAAAAGCTGCTTTCCGGATGTCGACTGCTGGATGGCGAATTCCAGCTCCGCATCCATAGTCGTCACCCTGACGTTCATCTGAAAAAAGTTAGTGATTTTCAAAATACAAGAAATGTTTATAATTGCCAAAAACAGTGTTCGATAATAATTATAATTTTTTTTTCCAAATCTGTACATGCACTTGTGTGTTTTCCTTGAATTGTACCTTTGAACATAAAATTATTTTTAACGACACATTCTCAAATGGTAGGTGTACAGACTATCGCAACCTTGGAGGATACAAAAAGTAGTTTTAATTAATGAATTTTTTTTTTCTGGGATAGGATGCAATAATTAATGCACAATGAAAAACGTTGCCTGTATTGAAATGGATTTATTTAATAAAGTCATGAATGAATTTTTTCTGAGTAGGTAATTATTAATTAGTCATAGATTTAAATTTGTCAGTGGAGCAAGTATTCTAAATTACATCATATTATCATGACGTGAGATAACAATTTTGAGGGATTATAAAATCAAGGGCTTTTGCCTTAGGTGGATTTCTAGATCTAGTATTTTGTTATCTGAAAAAATAATAAGCTAATATTGGGTCTAGATGTAGATAGCTTAAATCCTCTCAGTGCCAGTTTATTCACCTTTTGATAAACTGTCAGGTAACGAATCTGACAGATAAAAACGCAATTTGTAATTCCATTGGTCCACCAGTTATCCGCCGATCAATATAATTATAGAACGGTAAATTTATCTTGCATATTGTTACCAGCAAGTTTATCTGAAGATGAATAAACCGGGCCTTAATATAATATGTACCATAGTGTTCGATTTGAATTAGCCAAGCCAAAATATCCAGTTATTTAAACAAAAAAAGACAATAATTCTTCCTTAAATTTTCTTTTTTTATCTTCAATTATAGGTGGTATAGCTAGCTAAACTATAGGAATTTTTAAGTGATCAATTTGTTTCACTCACCAATTTGCTTGAAACCATGCTGACTGTGTCAATATTTTAGGAACAAGATTAAAAAAACACAGAAAAATTTTCCAACCGCAAAATCCCACAACCACTATTTCTCCTTCGATTCAAACGAGACGCGTACGACTGCCAGTACCACAATCGAAAAATTAATGTGGGATTCAATTCAAACTCGATAACGTAATTCGCATCATGCCAACGGTTGCAAAAACGAGTCTGCGTGAAATGAAAAAATATCTTCAGTGTATCGGACAAAGATAGTTGACCGGTTTTTGCATCAAAGAGGGTAAATAATAGCCGGAGCATGTGTCCCAAATGCAGCCAATGGCGGGGCTAATTTTTAAAATTTTAATTAGGGTTCAGTACCAGAAGGACGGTAAATATAGCAGCCAAAGCAAGGTTGCCGAAATTTATGTTTTGCAATATGTGGGAGTAACAGAAATGACTACTTAAGTATGTACTTAAATATTATTGTGGTTTGAAATTACAGTTGATTTACATGCAATCGGAGGAACTTCGTGTTATCGGATTTATGTTTCCTGTTTCGAAACTTGGTAAAACCTTTTGTATTTTTTTTTCAATGTTTTCATTTGCTAGACCTGAACATAATTTTTAGGTGTTTATCAATGAAAAATTTGAATAATATATGGCTTTGGTTCTTTGAATTGGTCAACTAAAATCCACCTTAATCAACATTCCCTAAATTACCAAATACTCTAAGTTTAGAAATAAAGAGCCAAAACATCCAAGAAAATATTTAAATTTGGCAACATTCCTCTAATAAACAACCTGAGGCCCAAATACAGGTGGCCACATACCTGTTTCTTTTAAATGGTCCAAGTCAATGGTTTAAAAATAAAAAATGATTTAACACTGACTGATGTGGATTTTGATTCATGTGATGTTTCAAGTTCAAGTTCATGGAGACATAAGAAATTGAAAAAAAAGGTCAAGCAAACTCTAGCCCTAGCCTGCAATTTTTTTGAAGACAAATATCACTATTATTAATTCAAAAAAAAAAAACAACAACTTGATAACCTATACATGAAATCGATACTAACCTCACGGCCAGAATTATTATGTGCTGTCCCAGAAAATTCACTCTCGTTCTCAGTTCTTCCAAGATTAAGCACGCTCCTCCAAAATCCCTTTTTATGATTAAACACCACCATGTTTTTTTTTTTAACCTAAATTCTTATATAATTTTACAGACAACACTGTTTGTGTTCACCTCTGTTTTAGGGTTTTATTGTTACTCTGTTTGAACATTGAATGTGTTTGCACAAAATATAATGCGTTGTTTATACTTCGAGTGATAAGTGTATGAAGATAAAGAAGAGCGAGAATCTATAATTAGGAAAACACATGTAATCTACTAGCCTCGCCAGAATCAATATTTAACAAATACACAAGTGGTGCGTCATGTTTTCGTCTTAATTAGGGTAAGATGCACCTGATTTGAATATAAGTACTTTAATTATAATTAAATATGGATATGCATATTTCCTTTTCCAAGAAAATATTTTATTGAGGTTGAATGGATGGCATAGGGCCTCAATGGTGTTTTGTGGCATTTGATTTTGGAATACTGTTGTTGTAGAAGATAATTCATTATATTTGGCTCTAAAATTAGATACCTAAGGGCAAGGCCGATTTTCTCCCCCACTTATCAAAGATTCATGTCCATGCCTTGGGGTCTAGGTGAAAGTCCCCTTTGATTCAATTTTTTTACTTTAGAGCCAAACTAATATGCATTTTGCAAGAAGTGAAATGACGTTTGGTTGGTATGATATCCTGGGAAAAAATAATAATATTTTTTAAGAGCTGGGGATTCACAATCTTCCAGTTACGCACAGCGGAAATTGTGCCAGTAGATATAGTAATTACTAATCTAATGATTGGAAATTCGAATTCCTCACAACGTCCTAAGGCTCCACTTACTCGTCTCTGTTTAATAATCACAATTCACTTCAACTTAGTTTAGGCATTAATTGAATAAGTATGAGACATACTTTTTCAATCAACAGGTAAGTTAAGCTGAGAAACCCAGAAAAAGCAAAAGGAAATCTTACCTGTTTCGGCATTTTGAAGGCCTTCTGTGCTCCTCAAACTGTAAAAGAAAAATGTCAATTAATATAATAATGTATGTAGGTACTTATCAATTACTAGAAAATCAACAAGCTCGTCAACAAGTGATGACCGTGGCTGTGAATGTTTCTTAATGACTAACCCTATAAGCAAATAAAGTATGTATTTTACTATTAATTGTTTTTAAATACTAAAGAAAGACTATTTATTTTTTTAATTGTCCATGTCTAACTTATGTAATCAAATGGCAATATTACACAAATAATTAATAATTACAAATCAACAAGAGAAAAAAACCATCACAATTTTGCTGCTAATACTTAATATCATTTCCTGTTGTTCCTTGAAGGCCACCCTTAAGTTTTTACATTTCGTCCATGATAGTGAGATTTGGCAAGGTTTAAGTTACGTTTTCTTAAAAAGCGTCATTAAGTAATCAAGTAGATAATTTTATTTTCCAACGCCTCGAAAATAAATTTTAGCTTGAAATTTACACTGCCAGTACACCAGGAAAAAAAACCTACTTAAGTGTGACATTTCATCATTCATTTGCTACCCTGAAAATTAGAGTTTGAACTACAAATTTCCTTGAGTAATACCGTCAGTAGCAATGAACTCTGAAAGAACAAAATCTAAGATAATATTAGGAGCTTTTATTGCGAAGATAGGACGACGAAATGCATCAGACTCGCATAACAGCGGAAATTTTGGGTTAGGAGAACAAAATCATAGAGGACAGGTAATGCTAGACTTTCTTTGTCGTGAAAATCTCTACTGCTTGAACATTTTTTTCAAGAAATCTTGCGGTGGTACGGGCGACAAGGTTGAAGGGCAGATCATGTGGCCAGAGCTACTCATGGAATGAAGGCCACGAGAGTCAAAAATAAACATTGGAAGACTGTCAACAAGGTGTCGTGATGATATTCAAAGGATTTCTAGAAAAAACTGGATCCTGGCGGCCGAAGACAGGAACCGATGGAAGATGGGAGATCCAGCAGTGGACGGAAATAGGCTAGAAGAATGCCAGAAATCCTATATTTCATCCACATGAGGCTTTATTATTTCTAATGTCGCTTTCATAAGTTTACCTATATCCTTTCTTTCAGGACTCTTGATTGAAGTTTGTCCAATACAAAATTTACTACAAGGAATAGTAGAAAATACCAAAGCAGATTGTTTCAAAATTTCGTCTCTATCTTTCTTTAGTTTTGTCATTTTTTAGTCTTGTCGCTTGATCTTGTCCTATTTTATAGTTCAATTCTCAGTTCACTTAGAAGATTTTTTGGGTAAGGATTTTCCATGAGGATAGGTTTTACCTACATTATATAATTTTGATAGGTTATTTTCTAGGTTATTTTGTTTGAAAGATATAAGTATGTGGAATTATTTCAGTACTTACATGTTTTTAGAACCAATTTTTCTATGGATAACTAAATTTTCAAATTATGAATCTACCCAAACTAGTAGGGGAGGGGAATAATGCAACACAATTATTTAAATTTAAAAGATCAGCAATAATGGGAGATATTATGTCTGCTTCCATTGGAGTAGGTACCAAAAATATGTTTATGAAAGGTTTATGCTTGGTGTTATCCATATATTTATTTTCACGGAGGTTTCACATATTCCATAAAGAAAAAATTATACATTTTAATAATTTTTAGAAATTCGAATATGCACAAGTATGCCCCTTGTAAGAGCAAACCTATTTGATCACAAGGATCGGGACACTTGATCGCTAATAATTTCTATAAGATAACAACACTTTTCAACTACATAGTATAATACACTGTGTCCAGTTTGCAGGTGGATTAGTAGAAATAGCCTTGGAAATAGTATCTAATCCACCTGCAAGCCAATGCAAATCGTTAATCACCCTGTATATAAAACTTTCTAGAATTTTACAAAGAATTTTAGTTTTCTTCAACAAAACACACTCATCTCTGAGCGAGGAAACCGCCAAATTTGTACACTGGATACATATGACTGCAACGGAATACATGAGAATACATAGAAGTACATGCGATTGCAAGGCAATACAATGCTCTACAAAGGAGCGCATGTAACTAAGTACTACTGACAGAAATTAGGCTGTCTTCAAAAGAACACAATGAACATCAAGGTAAACATAATAAATAATTTAGTAGCTGGTATAGCAAATGAAACAGTTCAATCGAAAAATGAATTATGCAAACTTGAATATGGAGGACCTACTTATAATTGTTGAAAATCAACATAATATTATGGCAAAACTAACTACTTAATTATTCAGCTAATTATTATAACTGTTTTGTCTCATAATATGATGCTCGATCTTATATTATTTTTAAAATGCATAATGCATTAGCAGTTGAAATGGATCGTTAGCTAATAACTCATTAGGACCATGAAATATATATGCTTTATAGATCTGGTCATTCTGGCCTATGGTTGGCAAATGGAGTTCATGGGCAGGTAAGCGCTTACAATAAGTAAGTAACTTGTTTCAGGTCAGTTATAAGTTTCACTGCGAAACAAAAAATTACCAAAGATGTTTTGGATGTTTTTTTTTTAAATTCCAGAAGAAAACACAAAGTCCTTTCTCCACAAAATACTTTAATCACGTTAAAGAGTCCTAGATGTTTCGAGGCTAGGAAACCTTATCACCAGAGGCAAGTTTGCTCACATATTACAAAGTGATTTAGGTCGCTAAACTTCGCATTTGGCAGAGGAAAAGAAACAGAAAGTTAAGGCATAAAGAAATCACATCCAAACTTCCAAACATAGGACATAGAGTGAAAGATTATTGAATAGATTAATTATTGTATGTAAGTTTCCTTATATTTTGACCCCTACCTACAGCTTTAGCTATACGAGGTGAAAAAAATATTTAAATATGAATGTTTTAGGGTTTTATATCTATTATCTTTTGCGAATGTTAAAACGGGCAAATGACAGATGTTAACTGACAATGACAAACACTTGCATTTTTCAAATGGAACACCCTGTATATTTTTGGCTAGAATGATAGTTTTTTTTTTCTTCTGATTCCAAATATACCATATATGTTGATTATTGTTGATATGTATTTAGTTCTATAGGCTCCTTGCATCAAATTTTTTTATTGCTGACTTCGATAGTCCATGAAAAATAAGTCAACACGTGTTTTTTCTTTTTCTTCTTAGTCAAAAATTGACGGAGATACAACACTATGAAATCTGCCTATGACGTCATTTGTTTAATAAATTAGTGATGTTGCACATGCTCAGTATATCTATATATACAAAACTTAATACTTGAATAACTTCCGGAATAATCATATTTGGGCGAAATAAAAAAAAAGTAACGATTTTTTTTCGATTTCCTTCAGTTTGCAATAAACAATAATCAATTTAATTTTCCATGCAAGTACCCTATTGCATTGAGCAAGCCTCATCATTTTTTTAAGAAACCAGCACTGGAACCACAAACAATCGCTATCGATAAGTTCTCGACAATTTCCCCTCATTTCTCACCTCGTCCACCCATCGCTCAACGTTAGGGTCCAAATTTGCCACCACAAACGAACATTTGCGATGCAAACGAACGTTTGCGGTGGCAATTTTGGCGACTAACGTTGAGCGATGGGTGGACGAGGTGAGAACTTGTCGAGAACTTATCGATAGCGATTGTTCGTGGTTCCGCCTCAGGACGGATTAAATTAAGGGTAGGTAATGCAAATGCATTTTTAAACTTGAATAGCTTAAAAACAACTGAACCAAATATCAACATACCGATATGGTATATGGTATATTTGGAATCAGAAGAGAAAAATCTATAGGGTGTTCCATTTGAAAAATGCAAGTGTTTGTCATAGTGATAGTTGGCACCTGTCATTTGCTCATTTTGACATTCGCAAAAGATAATAGATATAAAACTACAACTTTTATATTTAAAGTTTTTTTCCACCTCGTATAGCTAAAGCTGTAGGTAGGGGTCAAAATTTAAGGAAACACTCTGTACAGGGTCTGTTCCTTATAATTAGTGCGGCTTCTACAGCTTAAACAAAATAGTTATTTATGCAACAAGTGTGTAAAGTGAACCTTTTTTCACGAATGTAAATTTTGACGTACGAGCCGAAGGCGAGTGCGACAATCACATGAGTGAAAAAAGGTGCTTTACGCACGTATTGCATACAAAATTTTTTCTACTACCAATCA